TACAGGGGCCTTGCTAGTCTTCTCTATATTGTTCCAATTTGGCAGTAGATGTGCTACTGAAGCAAAGCACCCACATTCTATTTATTTATTTATTTATTTATTTATTTATTGAGAGACCAAGTCTTACTCTGTCATCTGGGCTGGGGTGCAGTGGCCCAAGTCTGGCTCACTGCAACTTCTGCTTCCGGGGTTCAAGCAATTCTCCTGTCTCAGCTTCCTGAGTAGCTGGGATTACAGGTGCCTAACACCATGCCCAGCTAATTTTTTGTAATTTTAGTAGAGATGGCGTTTCACCACATTTGCCAGGCTGGTCTCGATCTTCTGACCTCAAGCGATCTGCCCGCTTTGGCCTCCCAAAGCGCTGGGATTACAGACGTGAGCCACTGCGCCCAGCTTAATTTTTCTATTTTTAGTAGAGACAGATTCAAGTTTGCCTGTTCCTCTTGTGCCCAAGAAGCCCCTCCTGTGTGCAGGCCCGAAAGGCTTGGCCACACCCCACTGCGAGATGCGGCAGCTGCCATATGAGAGCACGCAGGCCTTGAGGACAGTATGGGAACCCCTGTTTCAGGGAAGGCACCTCAGGTCATTTTGGTCTGAGAAGCAGAAAATACCTGGAGGGCCAGGGTGGAACCAGGGCAGTGAGTTTTCACGGGTGTGTGTGTTCATAGCCATAGCAATTTTATATTCACGATGCTGGAGGTGGAGGAGTATCGGGTGTGATTTCATGGAACGGGTCCTTACGGGAGCTTCCTGGAATCAATCCACTGAGCATGCATTTATGAAGCTTGTCCTCTGCGCTCTGTGCTGAGAACTAGGAATAGAGAAAATGCTGAGAGCTCCTGCCCTTAGAGTCCCCAGATCAGAGCAGCACAGTCCAATGGAAGCAGAGTGTGAGCCTCGTGGAACTTCACATTGTCTAGCAGCTATATTAAAAGTAAACAAGCCCAAGGCCGGGCGCAGTGGCTCACGCCTGTAATCCCAGCATTTTGGGAGGCCGAGGCGGGCAGATCACCTGAGATCGGGAGTTCAAGACCAGCCTGACCGACATGGTGAAACCCTGTCTCTACTAAAAATACAAAATTAGCCAGGCGTGGTGGTACATGACTGTAATTGCAGCTACTTGGGAGGCTGAGGCAGGAGAATCACTTGAACCCAGGAGGCGGAGGTCACACTGAGCTGAGATCGCACCACTGCACTCCAGCCTAGGCAACAAAGGCAAACTCCGTCTCAAAAAAAAAAAAAAAAAAAGGCTCTATCAATTGTTCTCATATTATTATTGAACATCCAAGATGTGATTTCAGATGTAATCAACATAAAACTTGACTGCATTATTTTGCATGCTGTTTTCCAAATCCAGCTTCGTGTCACACCTACAGCACATCTCACTGCAGCTGGCCACATCCCCACCATCCAGATGTGAAATAGTCAAAAGACAGGGCAGGCAGGGCTGCGGAGGAGGCCTGCAGGGGCCATGATGGAGTGCCCATCCTGCACTGTGGTCCCAGCAAGTTTCTTCCTGCTGGCAAGAAGCCTGTCCCAGGCTGGCAGGGGACAGCATGAGGTGCAGCCTGCGGACTGGGAAAGGGGTGTGGAAGGGTCACACCTCAGTCCTAAAATCCAGGCCCAGAAGTGGCCCAAATCACTTCTCTGCCTTTAATGACACAGGCATACCCAGTGGCAAAGGAGTATGGGAAATGGAGTCAGGCTGGGTAGCCAGAAGCCCAGGAAGAGGGGAGAACAGACTTGGAGAGGGCAGGAGTCTCTGGCCACCAGGGGCTAAAGAGCCTTCGATGAGGCGGTGATGTGGTGGGGTCCTGGGCTCGGATCCAGGGTGGATGCCTAAGGTGCCCGTGCCAGTGCTTAGCTGCCCCAACAGACATGGGTTTTGAGCCCACAAGACTGCCTGTGCCTTGTGACAAGAATTCACCATGCTTTTGTCTCTGCAGCCTGAGAACAGCTTTGACTTCCTCAGCAGGGAGCTGTATGCGCATTCCATCAGGAAGCTGCAGGCCCATGTCCTGTTCATCAAGTGAGTCTGGACCAAGTGCCCTTCAGTCACCCCCAAAAGACACATGGGCGCCAGGAATCTCCGGGAGGGAGCCCTGGCATGAAGCTCCAAGTTCTCTGTGTTGACCACACTGCTGAGGCTCAAGATCTTTTTCGGGAAGCCCCCCTGGCAGCAGGGTCATGGAAGGAGCAAGGTCAGAGGAGGGGAGGGCTCAGGCAGCAGGGGATGGGCCAGGGCTGTCTCCCTCTGTCGCCCAGGCTGGAGTGCAGTGGCGCAATCTCCACTCACTGCAAGCTCCGCCTCCCGGGTTCACACCATTCTCCTGCCTCAGCCTCCTGTGTGGCTGGGATTACAGGCGCCCGGCTAATTTTTGTATTTTTTAGTAGAGACGGGGTTTCACCATGTTAGTCAGGATGGTATCGATCTCCTGACCTCGTGATCCGCCCATCTTGGCCTCCCAAAGTGCTGGGATTACAGGCGTGAGCCACCACGCCTGGCCTGTCCCACACCTTTCTACAGGTGTCAGCCGGGGGCATGCCCAGGTAAGGCTCCATGACCAGTGAGCGCAATGTCGGCTCACTGCAACCTCTGCCTCCTGGATTCAGGCGATTCTCCTGCCTCAGCCTCCCAAGTAGCTGGGACTACAGGTGCCCGCCACCACGCCTGACTTTTGTATTTTTAGTAGAGACGAGGTTTCACCATGTTGGCCAGGCTGATCTCCATCTCCTGACCTCATGATCCACCCGCCTTAGGCTCCCAAAGTGCTGGGATTACAGGCATGAGCCACTGTGCCTGGTCCACCACAGACAATTTTTAAGCCATAAAAAGAAAGGAAGGGGCTCCAGCATGGATGAACCTTCACGCTAAGTGGACAAAGTCAGACACAACCATCTACGTGTTGTATGACTGCATTCACGCTCAAGTCCAAATAGGACACACTGCAGAGACAAAGCCAGTTCATGATTGCTCAGGACCGGAAGCCTGTGGGGGGTGTGTGTGTGTGTGAAAGCGCAGAGGTTCGGGACTTCATTGGGGGTGATGAAAATGTTCTGTAATTGTGACGATGGTCTCACAACTCAACATATTAAAAACCATGGATTGTAGACTTTCAGTGGGAGGATTGTAAAGACGTAAATTCTCTCAGAGCAAGTGTGGACTCCAGAGCCTGTTCAGATCCCAGCTCTGCTATTCAGGACTGTGACTGTGGCCAAGTCCTGAACTCTGCGCCCCAGCAGGGCTGTACCTTAAGCACTTGCTTGCGCCTGGCTTGTGCCAGCTGAGTGTGAGCTGAGATTAACTGAACCTCAAATCCAACCCAGGGTCAAGGGACCCAGCTGTAGGAGGTGGGGTAGCCCAGGCTTTGGTTTCTCCTCAGAGGCCTGAACCCAGGGCAGGATGAGGGCAGTGCTGGGAGGCGGTTCTAAGATGAACCCCAACAACCCCAACTCCTCACTTTCCAGAGCAGTCCACGGATATTTTGATGTGAGAAGAGAGAGTTACTATAGCAAGGAGTCCCTGTCATTCATGATACACACGCTGAAGTCCACCCTCAAAGAGGTAAGGCGGGGCTCAGGCAGCTGGTGTCCGGCCACTGTCACCGACTCTGGTCCCACCTCACCCATCTCTTCTCGTGCACTGGGAAGACCCCTGGTCTGGCCCCAGGCCCAACAAGTGACCACCAGGATCTCTCAGGCCTCGTGCTCCACTGTGGTCAGTCCCTAGAGGCCTGGGGACACATGTCATCAGAATTCAGGAAACAGAGACCTTTGGTGGGGAAGATTCTTTTATCATCCTCGAGTACCCACCCTCCTTCCTGGGCCAGGCACAATTAGGTGACCCAACTGCCAGAGACAAGCCCACAGTTTTTATTTTTTGAAACAGGGTCTCATTCCGTTGCTCAGGCTGGAGTGCAGTGGCTCGATCATAGCTCACTGCAGCCTCAAACTCCAGGGCTCAAGTGATCCTCCCACCTCAGCCTCCTGAGTAGCTGGGACTACAGGTGCACGCCATCATGCCCAGCTAATAGTCCTACTTTTTTTTTTTTTTGAGATGGAGTCATGGAGTCTCTCTGTTGCCCAGGCTGGAGTGCAGTGGCAAGATCTTGGCTCACTGTAACCTACGCCTCCCGGGTTCAAAGAAACTCTCCTGCCGCAGCCTCCTGAGTAGCTGGGATTACAGGCATCTGCCACCGCGCCCAGCTAATTTTTATATTTTTAAGAGACGGGGTTTCACCATGTTGGCCAGGCTGGTCTCAAACTCCTGACCTCAGGCGATCTGCCTGACTTGGCCTCCCGAAGTGCTGCTTTTGCAGACAGGAGCCACCGTGCCCAGCCTAGTCTCACATTTTATAGGCTCCCAAACCACAGCAGAACATCTGGCTGCCTCTTCTCTCCGCACCCATCGCGCCAGTGGGTGTGCTGGCTGTAGGTGGGGGTGGCTGTGCCCGGGTTCCTGGGAGCACCTGGTGATTCATGGTCACTTACCCTCAAACACCTGACCCTGGGGCCTCTGCAGGTTTCCTGGTGTTGTCACAAAGGGAGGAAGTGCACCTGTGGCTGGCCGGTCGCCTGGTCAGAGCCAAGGCAGGCAGGGCCTTCCTGTCTGGCTTCTTGAAGGCAGGCACAAGTCTGCAGGCTGCTCACGCCCCCATCTGATTATTTTTTCTCACAAGGACTTCCTCTAATACAATCACAGCAACCCTGGCCTCTTCCCCGCCCTGTCCCTGCCATGCAACTTCACAACTCAGCTGGGAGGCCTCCAAGTCCCCAGGGCTCACACACCTCCTGGGGTGCTATGGACTGACCCGGCTCCAAGGCATTGAGTGTGTGGGAAACTCACCGTGGGAGGTGCTCCTGCCCTGCAGGGAGCCTGAAGGCTGTGGGAGGGCCCTGACCCCAAGGGCCTAAGGAGCTCCCTAGACTCCTCTGGCCACACCTCACCACACACCCTCTCCTTTCTCCAGCGGTTCCAGTTTGTGGAAGTCCCAGGCAATCACTGTGTCCACATGAGCGAACCCCAGCACGTGGCCAGTATCATCAGCTCCTTCTTACAGCACAAACACATGCTCACAGCCTAGCTGTAGCTCTGGGCCTGGAACTATGACGACCTCGTGCTGCCAGACTCAACACTGGAAATGTGAGTTCCCGAGCCCCGCAACAAGGCCAGGCCTGTGGGGACAGGCCTCACTGGTCTTGACGCCCAGCCTAGGGTGTAGTCAGGGGAAGGAGTGAGATTCCAACTTCAACATCTATGACCTCAAGCGGGAGACAGAGTCTGGGTTCGGAGGGCTGCTGTCTCCTGGCTAATAATCTCCAGCCAGCTGCAGGGAGGAAGGGCGGGCTGGGGCCACCTAGCCTTTCCCTGCTGCCCAACTGGGTGGAAAATAAAAGCTTCTCGCATTCTCACTGCTTTCGAGGCTGTTTCGTTACCATCAAGGGCTTTTCCATTGAGAGAAAAGGGAGAACAGAGCAGATTCATGCAGGGTCCTTGACAGGAGGGTGTGGAGGCAGGAGGCGGAAGGGGCAAGTCCTCCTCTGGGCACGCCCAGGTCCCCAGGACTGCTGAAGGCCAAGACCCGAGGGGTGGCCTGGCCCTTCACTCCTGGCCTGTGTGGACTCTCATGGGGCTGTTGGACGTGGTGGCCTCAACCTGGGGCCCGTTTCCCAGAGCTCAGCCTCTCGGAGACGGCTGCAGGCCCTGCCTGGCCTCATGTTCCTCCAGGCCCCGCACCTCCAGCCATCCACTGCGGCTCTCGCGGCTCAGTAGGGTCGGAATTTGCGCTGGGCCCGCAGCAGCTCGATCCTCTGCTTGTCCTCCTCGAACTTCTTGCGCAGCTGTGCTAGATCTGGGGGCGAGAGGAGGCGCGGGGCAGGGTCAGACAGCACGCCCCCGGGCAGCCGGCTTGCTCATGCCCCACCCTTCCTCCCAGTTATTGTGGGGCGCAGGGGCATGTCTCCCCCACCAACCCAGCCCCCTTGCCAGCTCTGCTTTGGGGGCAGGGTCTGGATCCTGTAAGGAATCAACCCGATGGCAGGCCAAGTCCAAAGGCAAGGCCACAGTGGGAGACGCTGGCACCCCGAGCCTGGAGATGAAGCCCTACAAACAAAGCAAAGGCATCCGCCCCCACCCCGACCCCCACGCAAGGGGGAAGGAAGGAGTCCTGACCGCTCGGCCTGGAGCGACCCTGAGACTCGGTAAAGGGACGCCACCCCTAGTGCTGGTGAATGCTGATGGCAACTCTGGCACCGGGTGGCCCAGGTCAGTGGCAGGCTGATGGCACGGAGGGGGAAGCTGAGGGTCTAGAGTGAGCACAAGTGGGAGCCAAGAGGGCCAGCGAGGCAGGGAAAGCACCAGTGACTGGGCGGATGGCTCAGGGCCTGCTGCAGAGCCCCTCCCTGTGCCCTAGCCAGGGCAAGGAGACTCCTCTCCTGGGCCCACAGGGAAGCTGTCCTGTAGACTGGGACACCAGGCAGTGGGGCAGGAGGCTCAGCCGCAGCACCAGGAGTGGGTCACAGGTGATCAGGTGCACAGCCAGGAGAGGGTCCTCTGCAGGCCACCTGACACACACACACCCCCGCACACCCACACACCACACACTACCACACACACCCCCACACACACCTACACACACACCCGCACACCACACACACACCCGCACACCCGCACAGCCACACACAGGCACTGTGCAGGGTCACCTGACACACAGCACAGACACAGACACACACACCACCACCACCACCAACTCAACACACATATTCTGCAGCATCCTCCCTGCACCCACGGTGGGTTCGGAGGCCCCCTCTGCACTCGAACTCCTTGCTGGCTGGAGGCTGACGAGCGCCAGCACTAAGTGCACAGGAGCCCAGAGGTGGGCACTGATGACCCAGGGTTCCCACCCATTGAGCAAATGCATCTGCCCCAGGGGGTGATGGGGGACCGCCACACAGGGTGCTGCCAGGCTGGGCCTCTTTCCAGAGCCTAGTGGGAGCCCTGTGCTTAGGGATGCCCTCCCTCTGTGACCACCAGGTTCAGCGCCCGCTGTCAGGAGCCCTGGCCAGAGGCCTCATCCATGGTTGGGGCCAAGGCCGAGGGGCCTGAGGATGGGCTGGGCGTGGCTTACGCTCCATCTTGCTCTCCCGGTGCTGCCAGGCATAGAAGTTGAGCAGCTCCTTTCGGGCGCGCTTCCGTCTCTCCCTCTCCAGCACCCGCAGGCTGGCTGCTTCAGTCCGGGGGAGCACAGGCCGTCGGCCCCGGCGGGTCACCTTCACCCAGCCCTCCTTGTCAGGGACCCCCTCCTCCTCCTTGGCCTTAGCTTCTTCCTGAAAGGAAGGTGATCCCGTCGTCCGGTCGGCACCTGGGACCTCCTGCAGCCTCCAGCAGCACACCCTCCATGCCCTCCTCCCAAAGTCAGAACCGCCCTGAGCCCCTGCAGGAGCGGGCTGCTCCCCTCCTCCCAGCATGGTGTTGGGGCTCAGGATGGCGGGGAGGGCACGGACCTGCCGGCGCTGCCTCCTTCTCCACTATAGACCATGTGGAGACTAGATGTGTCACCCAGCCAGGCAGCCCAGGATCCAGCAGGGAAAAAGGGAGCCTGGCCTCTACAGAGTGGCTAAGGACAGGCCGCCACCGCCCTCCCTCTGGGGCGCCACCTTCCCACAGCCACACGGGCGATGCGGTGCTCGGCCGACCCTGCGGAGCCTCTACCTCAGCGATCTTCTGGTCATACGCCTCCATGAACGTGTCCACTTCCACCCTCAGGGCCTCAGGGTCGGGAATGGAGTCTGCGTAGTCGCTGATCCACTCTGAGGAAAAGGGACGCAGGGAAATGGGGCTTCCTCAGGCCTGGCATTTGGGCCCCACCCCAGGGCCTGCCAGGCTAATGGAGACCTTTTCCCACAGGGCCCGGGGCGCAGGTGCTAAGGAAACCCCAGGGGCTGCAAGCTGGGCCCTCGCTCTGCCTGCCCAGTATGCCTGTGCCACTGTGCCAGGGGCTCAGGCTAACCACTCCCTGGGGACCCAGACACAGCCCCGCAGTCCTCCTGCCCAGGCCTCCACACGCCACTCTCAGGGAGCATGGACTTGGTTGGTGACATTCAGACACTGTCCCCATAGAGTGTCCTGCCAACCCAGAGCCCAGAAAGGAGGTGCCAGTCACCCCCGTGGTACTAACTGTGAATGCCACTCTTCACAGGGTGGCTCTCTGTGGACACCAGCAGGGGGCCCTTCAGGGCCAAGGCCGCTGACACCCCACTTGGCTTCTGGAACACCACATAGGCTACCTGGAACCCCTGAAGAGAGAGACAGATGTCAGAGGCTGGGGGCGCCTCCGCATGTCTGGCACAAGGTCTCCAGGCCCGCCCTCAGCCTAGCCGGTGGCTACACCAGGGGAGACAGTGCTAGGCTACTCCTGAGCCCTGGAGAGAACCAGAGGCCATCCCATAACCCAGGTCAGGGGCAGCCACACTTCCAGTGATCCTGCTTCTGCGGGAAGTGACAGCTGTTCCCAGCTCTTCCTCAGGAAGAGGGGACACACAGGCTGCCTTTCTTCCAGTCACAGGAGGGATGCTGTGACACGCAGGGGTCGCCCTGG